ACACTTCTCAGATGGAAAATCAAACACGCTGATCTGCTTCAATGAAACTCAATCATAAAAAAAATTATAATATACAGCTTCAAAAACCAGTTGCAATTCATTTTTTTTTTTCATTTTCTTTCACCAAAAACTTTAAATATTTTGAAAATGCTATGCCAGAGAAGCGCTAAATGAAGCTTCCAAAACTAATTTTCCTTCTAGTTTAACCATGTTTTCAAGCTACTTTTTACATATAAGGAACGTTGCCCGATCGCTTTACTCGCTCCAAAGTCGATGAAAAATCAAAAATTTCAAACCGGCTCTCTAAACACTGAGAAAGTTTGTTTGAAACTTTTGAAAGTCTATCGAATAACGATTGAAAAGGCTTCAAAATGAGATATCACTCAACTCAAACTGATGATTCATTGTGGTACCTGATTTCGCGTGAAAAGCAAAAAGTAAAAAAAACTAAAACACCCGAATATTAAATTCCTCCGTTTTAAATGAACGAAACCACAAGCGTTTGTTGCTTGTGTTATCAAAAAATTCTTTTCTATTCATAACTATGGTCCAAAAAATTTGACAATTTTTACTTCAGTATTTTTTTGATATCAAATTTTGGCCGACCGACCTCGAATTTTTTTAGGACGTCAACATTTACTAACTTTGAAAGGAACAATCAAACCGAAAAAAAAAATTATTTTAGCCACAAACTTATATAACAGTTCTTTAAAGGATTTTTTAAGCAATTGTTCTTCAAAATAAGTTCTCTTCAATGATTCGAGAAAGCTTGAAATATCAACTTAGTCGACCTATAAGAGTTTGACAAAAATCACACACTTTTTTCTCGAAACCTTGAAGCAAAATTACAACAGGGACAAAATAAAAATGTGCAAGCATTGTAGTGTTCCGACCACATTGATTAAACAAGGATGGCCGGTTCCTTTGCAAGAATCACATATAGTTCCAACCATATCTCATGGCCGAAACAACAAGGATAGCTGATTGTTGCGCAAATAGCACAGAGAATTTAGACTATGAAAAAATAAAAATTTAAAATATAAGCTTCATTTTTGTTTCGAAGTTTTTTTCAGATGAAGATCAACAGAAGTAGGCAAGCAGCTGCAAATTCAGAAGAAAAGTTAAGTAGAAAATTTAGTTTAAAAAACACCTTTCAGTTCCTTTCAGGTCTTCCTTTCAGGTCTCTGTAGAGAATTTAGTTTAAAAAACACCTTTCAGTTCCTTTCAGGTCTCTGTATAATCAAGTGAGAAAAACCGAAAATTTCCTATCAGTTTTTCACCAAACGAGCATTATTGGATGGTTTTTTCCCGCCTCTTTTAAGGGGAGGGGAAACTGTGGCTGGTTGGAACAAAAAGTTTACAAAGCCATTTGCAAAAACCAATCATAAACGCAGAGGCAAGCAAAAGTTCGCACCACTTGCGATACAACACAAATGTAGCTGGTAAAATAGCCGAAAGAAAATGAGACGAAAGCAGCTAAATCGAAATGAACAACTAGATCTACCAAAATTTTCGAATGTTCATCTCAACTTGCCTTGAGTAAAAATGATTTTGTTGAAAACATGCCATCTAAGACCAAAGAATGCTTAAATCGGCATCCTACTTAAAGCTTCGAAGCAGCAAGAAAGCCGACAATGAGTGGAGTACAATAAAATTTCTGTCGACGAACAGCAAACTTTGCGCGCCCAATCAAGCCATTTACTTTGATAAGGAACGAAACTCTGATAAGGAACGCCAAAAAATGTGCCAATAAATTCAACCAGCAGTTCAGCCCACACCCCTCGTCAATTACTAAAGAGCGTCGCCACACGCTAAGAACTTTGAAGAGTTTAAAAAATCTATTTAGGGTGTTCAACAGCCTCACTGTTGCCATGGCAATAAAAGATTCGAATAAAAGTAAGGCGCTTGGCCCACATCATATTTCGCCCATTCACTTGCATCACCTGGGCCCAATCGCCATACAATATCTAACAGAGCTAGATAATATTTGAACACAAACAGCTACCAAACGAAATGGGTGGAAAGTAGGAAGGAGTATTCCGTTGCAAAAACCAGGTCAACCGGACGATGATTCCAAAAGTTTCCGACCGATCGCACTACTTTCCCCAATTGCTAAGGTGAGCGAAAGCCTGCTGCTAAATGACTTTTTCAATTTCACCCCAACAGAACACCAACATGGCTTCAGTGCTGAACATTCATTTATAACAGCTCTGAACATCATAACTAACAACATCAAGCTAGGTCTCAACAAACACAAACTAGGTGATCGTACCCTTTTAGTCGCCTTGGACCTCACTTTGAAACGGTTGACTCTAACGTACTACTCAATGATGTTTTGAAAGCGGATGTGCTCAGCAGCACCAAACGCTGGATAAATTCATACTTACAGGTTCGGTTCACCTATGTTGAGTATCGGAATAAGAAGTCAAAACTCGAAAAATTACACAAGCGTGACCACAAGGAAGACTATTATCACTAATGCTCTTTAAAATTTACATGAGAAAGCTCCCCCTGCCGCCAGACCGGGTTTCAACTGTTACTTACGTTGATGACATAACTCTGATTACTTCAAATTCGAAGGTAGATGAAGTTAAGGGCCAAATCAAACCGTACCTAGAAGAGCTGCACGGCTGGCTCACCAATAGAAAATTACAACTCTCCGCCGACAAGTCATCATCAACCATCTTTACAATTTGGAGTTAGGAACTATCCTCTGACACCAAGCTTGAAAATAACAGAGTCCCTATTCCGCTCAAGTCAAAACCCAAACTGTTGGGAGTGGTCTTTGACGGCCTACTTAGTTTCAAGGAACATGTCAAAAGCACCACTTGAAAATTACAACAGCGTAATAAAGCCATAAAAAGTTGTCCGGCAATGACTGGTGTTGTTCCAAAGAAACACTGACAGTGACATACAAGGCCATCGGGCGCAGTGTGCATAACTATGGAGCACCAATCTGGCTTCCATCAATGAGTAAAACAAACTGGAACCTCCAAATTCAACTAAACATTGTCCTGAGAACAAAAACTGGTTGTAAGAAGTTTGATGATCTCAACGGGGAAACAAAAGTCTTGCCTGTAGCGACTCACACAGATATGCAGGCAAAACAATTTCTAGTCGGATGCCACCAGAATGATCGTTCCGACTATCAGACAACCCAACATCCAGATGAGCGACTCATCAAAAACCACAATCCGCACCACTTACGGTGTTGAAATCCAACAACATCTGGATGAGGGCTTAATAAGTAGTAAAAAGTATCGGTAAGCTCTGAAGGTTATCCATTACAAAGAGGTTAAAAACTACCTCAAACCTATTGGAACGCCTACCGCCTCAAATATCTGACAGTGAATCTGAATTACTGCGGACAGCGCGCATACGGCTGACTCGACTCCACTCCGGGTACAGTCCGCTCACTAACTCATACCTAAGCCATGTAAAAAAAGAGGTACACAATTCCTGTCCAGACTGTAATGAGGCGCCCAACGACGTCCATCATTTAGTCAAGGCTTCATCCCCTCGAAAATACTGAGTTCCTCAAATGTCATATCACGATGGAGTGGGAGAGCTGAACTCCCTTAAGAATGAAATCTCAGTCAAATAACGACGAAGACGCTGACTTCTAAACAGCACACATCGACAACGACGAAGAGCACACTTCGAATTATGGATCAGAAATATCGAAAAAACGAGACCAGTACTTAAACGGTATTCAGGTAACCACTCATGTGGCATACCCCAACTATTCTGCCGGGGGACAAGGGCACTGGTGAGGTACTAGCGGAAACCTAATCAACCTTCATCTCCTACGAAGATGAAGTACTGATAGCGATGGCAACCAAGATACATAACAAAACGAAGCTACCCTACAAAATCCCGCAGACGATGGCGTTGGGCGTAGCTATTACAACAACATTAATAATACTTGGTCAGACAAATTGAGCCAGAAAGAATGATTTCATGAAAAACTAAGCAAAAAAGATGCATATCCCCTCAAAACACAAAAAAGCATCGAAAATTTCCCGACGCAAAATAAGGCCACAAAGCCAAGAAAACATAAACTAAAACTGAAACTTAACCAAATCGTTGTCGTTAAGATTATAACCAACAACTAAAAAAGCAAATTTCGAATAGAGCATGCATTTAAAATGCAAACCTAAAGTGCTGATTTAAATTATTCGAACAAAGCGAAGAAAACTAGTAATTAAAAACGCATTTTTTTTCGAAATGGGCTGATTTCAGAGAGAGATTTACAACACAAAACTTGTTTTAATTTTGAGCAGAATCAGCAGTATACAAATTATTTCGAAAAAATTTGGGCACAAACAGATATTTTGTCTTTCTTTGGTCAATCAAAAATTACGCCAGAACTACCAGATCAATTGCTGACAAAACTACATCAAAATGAGCCTCATACTTAGTCCAACACCGATTAACAAGGGCGTAATCTTCGAAGAAAAAAATTGTAAAAAACGTACAATAAAAAACTCAATTTTGCATTGGAACAAATTTTAAAAGTTATTGCGAAAACCTTTCTTTATAAAAGAGGGCTATATAAGAGGGTCACTTTGATATCGTTTTGTCAGCAATTGATCCAGTAGTTCTAGTATAATTTAAGATTGATTAAAAACAGCTAAAAATGATCCGTTTTGGGTAAAAGTATGGGCCCGAAATTTGCAAAATAAAACGCACTATATTCGGCTGAAATTCTTAGCACATTTTGTCTTAATCAATTTTCGTCCAGCAACCATCCAATTTGAGAAAAACGCGTTTTAAATTTCAAGTTATTCGTTTTGTCCGGATAAGTTAAATCAACACAGTATTCAAAATGTTTGTTGGCTGACGAAGATAACGCGATTCCCGATTTGATAACGCGTGCTGATGCGCCATAGAAAATAAGACAAGGCCCATCACTTTGCAAAAAAAATTAGACTTCGTTGAATTGCTTGTAGATTATACTGGCTAAAAAGCTAAAAACTATGTTCACACTCTAAAAATGCTGAAACGAGCAAAATTAACTTATTCGTGCATAAACTTCAATTAATAATTTATTTATTTTCATGTATATAGCATAAAAAACACTTTTACTTTTCTTCTTTTACAGCTGCCGCAAAGTTTTCCAGCTTATTGTAAATGCTTCTCACTTTCTTTAGCTGTTCTGCCAATTCAACTTGCTTCCCAGTGATCAACTTTCGCTTCTCTTCACTGTTAGTTGACAGATTATCCAACATATTTTTAATATACTCATCCAGTCGTTTCGTCTCAGAGTTCAGAATGTGCTGTCTAAGCGACTGTACTGTAGTTTCTAGCGTTTTCTGCAGACGCCAAAATAGCACTATATCATCACATGATAATCCTGGCTCCTTGAAACCGCGTTGGTAGTGGTAGAAAAACGTCTTGCAATCTTTGCAGCGGGCTATAGACTGCTCAACTACATGCATCTTGTACCTGGTATTCCACACTTCCTGGATGAAAGTATTGTCAACTGCCATCTTTTTATCACGCAGGGAAATATTCTTTCTAATGGCTGTCAGCTCATCGCTGTTCAATGCATAATCATGCATAGGTTCTGTCTTCAGAATCACGTCAATTTCAGAGTTGATGAGACGCCTCCTTTGCTCATCTGGTTCGACATACTTCCAGCTGGTCCATCGCTCCACTATTCCTGGACCTAACGAGCTTTTAAACTCTTCGCTTAATTTCTTTTGCTCTGAGAGCAACACTTTTTCCATAAAGGCAGCTGCATTCTTCCACGCTTGGTTGTCAGGAACTGATTTGTCTTGCAAGGAAGCTGCTTGAATATGTCTCAAACTATCCGGCGCTCTTGAGTCCCAAGAAACTCCTCCTTTCAGTTCCTCTTTGACCAGATTTCTCAGAGGCTCAAACAGCCTGTTATTCGATTTCTTTGACCACAAACTGAACAGCTCATTTAGCAGAACATCTTGAGCAACTTCGACCGATTTTAATGGGAGTGATCTCTCGGCCCAACGATGCAGCTGAATGTCAACGAGTGTTGAGAAATCCTCATCAGGGTTTTTGAGCACTGGGAAATAAACTTTTTCAAACACTTCTTTTCCAAGATTGTCAAACAAGCTTTTGTACAATTTTTCATCCCAGTGCTTTGCGTTCACGTTCCCCAATTCCAATATTTCATCCAAGATATCATACTTGGCTTTCTCAAAAAGACCATCACGGTCTAGTTCTCGACTGCCTGCAAACTTATTTTTCCACTGTGACTCCAAATTGAATAACTTCGCTTTGAAACTGTCGGCTTCCTGTTCTATCGACGCTTTGACCATCTGCCAAAAGCACTCAGAAACTGCAACAGTCAAATTATGCGTAGTGAGTTGAGATCTTTTGATTCCCGATTTCAGAAGTTGAGACTTAGAAAAGAAATCCTCTTCGTATGATTTTATACTGCTTATTTCGTCATCGGTTTTGCGCCCAGTTCCCGTAACAACAGCAAAATACCCTCTAGCTTTCATGGGAAACCTTTTTCCTTCGAGAATACTTCTGATTCTGGACACGTCAGCTGCATTTTGTTCGGCTACGTCCACTTTCGTCATTACGAACACGGTTCGACCTCCAGTTGGATCCACCGACGAAACCAAATCAGTGACTAAACTACGCTCAGCGTCCACTGAGCCATCTTGCACGCAAAGTATAATTGCATTACGATTGCCCATATACTTTTTAGACAATCTCTCGATTTCACGCTTTGTGTTTTCAGCCATTCCCGTCGTCTCGATATTGATAATTCCCGGCAAGTCTACCAAAACCATCCGCTGCAGGCCTGGACCTTTGACGTTCAGTGAAATGATTTCACTCGCAATAGTCTTGTTCGAATTCTTCGAAATTGACTTCATTCTCAATTCGATTTCCTGTCTCAGACTTTTGAGCTGCGCTTTGTCTGTCAAGTTAAACTCGCGGTTGCTGTCTCTGAACTGAGCTATGTGATAGGGACCTTCACTAAGTGTCACCATAACCGGGCACCTTTAGACAGGGTGGGCAAGAAATTAGAATAAAAAGGACATATTCAGAAACCCGTAAAAATTTACAACAAGACACTGCCAAAGTCAACTCCAATTCAAAAACACAGATAAAACACTTTTTACAGGGGACTGAAAGAATGTAGAGAAATAAATCTGACAGAGCTTTTTTCAGATCTCCCTTAAACGATAAGTCATTGAAAAAGAGCATAATTTTCACACGGCAACATATTCTATGCAAGGACAAGTCCTCTAGTAGCTCGTGAGCTGTCCACCAGACAGAGGACTCATGCAACCCATTTAAAAATACAAAATACATACCAATGGCAACAAATTAAAGCCCAGCGGGGGGTGGGGGTTTAAAAAGGACACAAAATAGTAAACCGCAGGGGGTAGACAAGGGCCATTTGGCCACCCTGTCGCACCTGGTCATCATTTCTCCAGATCCTCTGGGGAAGATTCTGGCCTGGACAACCATTTCGAGGACACTGGTTTTCCCAGCCGACTGATCCCCCACAACCACCACTCTTGGCAGATGGTCCTGCACGTCGAAAGAAGAGTCAAACTCCATCAATTCTTCCAGGATCTCAGAGTACATGTCCACTAAGTTCGTCGTCAAACTTCGCCCCCCTCCAGACTTCTTCACACCTGCATTGTGATGCACATTTTCAATGTTTATTTGAGTATATTTGATATTTGAATACTTGACTCTCAATTAAACATTAAAAATGTTAGAGCCGACCACACATCATTTCTTGAAATTTTATTTGACCGCGTATTTGTACCAGTCGCAAAGTTCACAAATGGAGCCTTATTTGACTCAAATCAACATCAGCAGGGAGCAATAAGAAAATAAATTTTTGCGGAAAAAGTACATTTTACTTTTTTTGTAGAGGCCAAAAAGTAAAAAAAAATTAAGTGCAGAAATTTTGACTTTTTAACTAACAAATCAACAATTTTGCTCACTTTTCATCAGTAATTTCTAACCTTCACGTAGTTTTTGCTTCAATATACTGAAAACAGTTTCAACTTGACGTGATTTTATCAACACATGATCGAATTTGGCTGATTTTTTTCTTCACAAACTCCAATTTATGGTTCTTCTAAAAACTTTTAGCTCTGCTTAGGGCAAGTTAAATGTTTTTGCTTAACTTTTTACTGAATTAGAAAAATAAAAAAAAGTATTTACTTTTTTCCGCTCCCTGCTAATCAAATGCTTACTTTTGTTAAATTTTTAAAGACAATTTTAACCTCCGCGCCTTCCACTTTCCGACTCCAGAATGATTTTTCTCAATTCTTTATTTTCCTTTTCCAGGCGTTCGATTTCCTTCTGCTGTTTCAGCTGCTCTTTGAAAGTCTCATCTTTATCGGACTTGAAAAACCCTTCTTTTTTACCCGCATTGGCCACTTCAGTTCCAAAAAAGGACGACACTCCTCCTACTTTGTGGTTCACGTTTGATGAACTGTTGGACTTCAGCATGTCAGTCGAAATACTCAACTCTGCGAGTTGTGATTTCATCTTCGCAAATCCACTCGCAGAAACATCTCCTACCATTTTTGTATAGTTAGTCAAAGCAGTTAAGGGCAGATTGAACTTATTTGATGTTTCATCAATCCAATTCGAAACTTTTTTCGCATACACAATACCCGTGCCCGTGGTTCCAATTACCAAAATACGAAATGGAGTCAGTCTGAAAAGAGACCGTCTGGGTGGTGGCATACTGCTCGAATATCTGTGCTTTGTTAGAATAAATTGTCTGCGTGGTCGGTGGCCTAATCTCAGTCTCTTCAGAAGATGAAATGGTCTCATAACACAATCTGAAAAAAATGAAATTGATTAACAGCTAAAAGTTCGGATGTTTTCTTGACACAATAGAACAGCAAAAAACTAACATAAGAAATACATAACATATTTGAAAAGATAATGGTTGCCGAATGAAGAGAATTTGATATTTCGACCCTTATATTTATAACAAGCGTCGCCAGTTGCTGTAAGGAGTAGCAGATAACGTTCCGACTACAAGTAATGTTAAAAAATAGATAGATGAGCTCTTGTTATGCAAGTAATTCAAAAAAATGAACACTTCGAGTTCATACAATTTCACGAGACACATTGAATGCCGAACAAAATCAATTTTTGGTATATTTATGTTGGGAACCTTATTTTTCAGTTGCCGTCCAACTGTAGAATTTATCAGCAATATTTTTGTCAGTTGAGGAATCATAACTCGGTATGACTATAACGGAGGAATTCCTTTAGGTTTGTGACCTTTGCCACGAATATCAATTAAACTTTATAAATGCCTGCCTTGAGCCCCGATACTATATTTAAGTTTATCCCAATAGTAAGTCTTCCTTGCTAGTTTAACAACTTTTTCAGAAAGATCTCGTAAAACTTTAAAAAAACACTCCAAAATCATTCTGAATAAATTTCTTTATCAGCCTTTTTTTAGTTCAGCGGTTTTCAGCATAAACTGTGAACCACGTGTGTTTCTCTGGTGAGTAGTTTCCGACGTTTTTGAGTGGCGCAAATATTTACAGAATCTCTTCATAAGAAATTTTGAAAAATTGCATAGCCTCATCTATGTCATTCATTTCATAGAAAGTCAGTTTGACTGTTTCAAATTTTTGGACTTTCACTTCTAGAATTCAATCACTTGTAGATGTGCCGAGGAAAATAACTTCATAATCAGATACCTGGCACGTGATCAATCATTCAATGTGCACTGGATAAAGATCTGATAATTTTCAGTATTAAGAACCACAGACGACAAAATTATCCAAATAAGTTGAACTGCCGGATGTTACACGAGATAGTTCACAGCTGGAAATGGAAAACCAGACTGAATAGACGAAAACGTATAAATTTTTAAATATTTTTTTTGCATTAAATCGATATTAAAAACGCAACAAAAAATGGAAGGACGATTGAGACATTTGCTTTTTTTTTCTCCAAAAAATGAAATTCATTTAATTCTACTGGGTTACAATTTATGCACAATGAGCATGTGGGATCATTTTTTGCTTTATCAACCAGTAGGCTTTCATCAAAAGGCGTATCACGTTAACTGAGCAATTATTTCCCTTGAATCATGACACCACCACTGAAAGTATTACGGTTTTCAGCACTAAACTGATGATAGCAGCTAACTAAGTAAGTTTCACCTGGATCATTTTCGGTGAGCCAGGTTTCAGTAAGGCATAAACGTTACGTGAAGGGTGACTCAAGGCTTAGAATGAGTGCTTCTAATTGATCAAAATGAAATTCCATAGATCTTATGTTTGCTTGCATAACGTACATTTTGCATTATGGGTTGACAAAAAAAAAGAAAAATATTGTGTGCAATAAGAAAGAAAGAATTAGAGCACAACCACATAACAACATAACCTTTCTTCCCATTTGTTGTGAAGCCGATTAATAATTCTATTCTCTCATTTAAAATTTTCTTGTTTCGCGCATCAACTCAAATTTTGTTTGAGGGAAAGAAATATTGAGGAATCTGAAAGTCTAACAATTAAATTATGTCGTAGATTGTCAGGCAGATCCCAAATTTTAAAGATCTAAAACTATTGCCGCACACTTCTGATGTATAACAGTCTTCATTTTAGATCTATAGATAGCGTACATAATAGTAGCACCCTTATGCGAAAAAAAAATCCATTAGATTTCTTCTTTTATATTCGCACATTTTGACTGCTGGCACTGTTATTTTCAGATAAAAGTCTGCTGTGGTAGAATTAACATTCTTTTAATTACAAAATGAAAAAATAGTCTTGATAGCACAAACATAGCTAGTAGACAGTTGGAAAAGTGTAAATGAACGCAAGAAAACCGGAAACAAAAAAGTCTAGTTTTTATCAATTTCTAAACTTGAATTTGAAAGAACAAAAGACGTCTTTAAGTTCTATTAATTTAATAAAAAATACGATTGACCCTTTTTTGATAAAATAACCCAACCGGAGATAACTGGGCCACTAGATAAGTTTTTTTATTCCACGGAGAAATCTAAAAATTTAACTCCATTTTTGAAACTTGAAGTCATTCACATTATTTAGCGTCATTCACACTGAATTTGAGTTGAATTTCAACAGTCAAACCAAAATTTGAACATGCACAATTTGTAAAACTTTTCTAATTTACTACTAAAAACACGACCTTTCTAAATGTCTTCACTACCTTCAATGGCACTTCAAAAACATCCGTAAATATTTTTACTTTCTGGCTTTAATATATCAAAAAGTTTTTACAAGAAGCTAGAGGATCCAATTGCCCCTATTCGCTGAGTCTCATTAAACTGTTGTAATTTTATGTAAAAAAACTAATTGGAGAAATACTTTTATTTGTCTTTTGCTTGTGAGTTTACTCCAACGTTCTACAGTGCTGATTTAAATTATCCGGTTGAAACGCACAAGACTTGAAAATTAACACGAATTTTTCTCAAAATGGGTTGAATTTAGACAAAACTAGATAAAGACACAAGTTGCTTATAACTTCGGCAGAATTGATCAAGTGCTATTTGCTTTGCGAAATTCGGAAACAACAATTTACCCCAAGATGGGACGTTTTAACTTTTTTAGTCAATCAATCGATGAAACTCCCAAGTTAATTGATGAGAAAACTATATCAAAAGCAGCCGCTTTTCAAGCATAACAAAGTTCAAAAAAACTAAAATCTCCACAAAAACGAGCAAAACAATCGAAATTTGTTTTTCAGCAAAAAGTGGGTTATATATATAGTTAAATTGACATTTTGATTATCAAGCAAAAATTTCATCTTTTCTACAAGTTTTTGAAGACTTAACCCATCTGGAATGTTGTTTGACTGTTTGAAAGGCTTGTTTTTATTTAACTTTTTTGATAATTTAACTAAATTGCTAAAGCAAAATTTTAGACACAGGCAAAGCAGAGCTTTGCGCCACTGGCGATAAAACACAAACATAAAACATAAGAAGTCGAAAACACCGAAAAAAATCTGCTGGGTGAACCAAAATGTTCGTGCGGCTCGATAAGAATTAATCAGTGGCCCAGCTAAAGATAGTATTTTGAAATTTTGCAATCTGTTACACTGATGCGGTATGAAATGGGAAATTTCAAAACATGGACTTTGACCAAATCCTTACTGGTTTCTCTATTAAATAATTGAGATCAAACACTTCGGAGAAATTGAATCTTCCTAAAGACATTACATTTTTCTTACAAAAATTAAGGAGTCGCTGCTTCTGTAGAAAACATAATCGCAACTGGTTCTTTCGATTGAACCTTTTATCTATCTCAGATTTGAGAGGGCAGTTACTAAGAAAAATCAAAAAGTTTCTGCAAAACGAATTATTGGTAGTGGATCCTTGAGCAGAGAAGATTCCCAAAACCGGGTTTATCGATTGAAAACTTGATCTAAGGGGCAGTGTAGTTTTCAAGAATAGTAAAAAAAAAAATCCAAAAAAACTGTCGATAAATCAAAAATTTGACTTTTCCGAGAATCAAATTTTTTTCGGTAGAAACTTTTGGTATAGCCGCTCAAGCAGAAACGAAAGTTCATACATCCTGTAAATTGGACTGGACGCAAAAACTCAAGATTTGGGAGGGTAGTTTTCGAGAAGTCAAAAAGAATTAAAAAACGGTCATAAAGTGAAACATCCTACAATTCTGAGGGCCAGAATTTTCCTGAAAACATTTGGAAGAGGCCATTTAGGCAGAGGAGCTTCCTACAACTTCAACTAATCTTTGAACCCAAAACTCAGATTTGTTAGAGTTGTTTTTTGAAAGACGAAAAATCTTTAAAAATATGGGTCAAATATTCATCCAACAGACATTTCGAAGCCTGTAGACAGAGTGGTAAAGCAAAAACAGACAAGACGAGCAAGCAGGCACACAGAACATTAGGCGTTTTTCACATTGATACCTCTTTTTTGAACATAGAAAGAAGTTTTCTACCAAATTACAAAGTTTGCAAAAAAAATGAAACAATTTCGAAAGCCTCTCAAATAAGTGAAAAAAAATAAAATATATAAAAAACCCAATGCCACAAATTGCCTAACAATTGATTTTTTTGTCTGGGAATTTTTTGAATCTTCAAAACTACAAAACAGAAGATGACTAAAACAATTCAAAACAAATCAAAACTGTTTAATCGAAAAAAAAAAACACTTTAAAAACAAATTTTTCAAAATCAGATTGGTAAAAAGATAAATTCACTAAATTTCAATTACAGTAAAAATATAATTAAAACCGAAACCAAATCCATGCATTACAAAAAACGGAAAATGAACGGACAAAAACTAGGCCGAAAACCACGAATCCAAAAAATAAACATTTTTTCAAAATATTTTTTTGAAAAATTAAATAATGCCCGAAACGTACTCCACATATTGACTACCTATGTGAAGTAGTTTTATTTGAATTTCCAGAAATTGAGCATGTCTTGAAACTTACCATTCCTTCAAAATCAGATTGGTAAAGAGTTGTTAAATTACAAAGTTTGCAAAAAAAATGAAACAATTTCGAAAGCCTCTCAAATAAGTGAAAAAAAATAAAATATATAAAAAACCCAATGCCACAAATTGCCTAACAATTGATTTTTTTGTCTGGGAATTTTTTGAATCTTCAAAACTACAAAACAGAAGATGACTAAAACAATTCAAAACAAATCAAAACTGTTTAATCGAAAAAAAAAACACTTTAAAAACAAATTTTTCAAAATCAGATTGGTAAAAAGATAAATTCACTAAATTTCAATTACAGTAAAAATATAATTAAAACCGAAACCAAATCCATGCATTACAAAAAACGGAAAATGAACGGACAAAAACTAGGCCGA